ACAAAAAGTACTTATACAAATATTACACTGTAACGTTTGAATTAAGATTATATCACTGATTAAAAGACACCATTTTTGTAATAAATAATACCCAAAGGATCAGTGGTGAAGCATTCAATTATGTTCTGAGCATAAAATAAGGTAACAGGGGAACACAGAGTAGAATAGTGCTTGGGAAACAGCATATACTCAATAAAGTTTTAATTTTTTTTATGGAGGTTTCACCCAGTGGGTGGGGTTGGACGATTGGTTTGTCAAGGTTTCCTGGTTAGGGAAGCTTGTGTCAGCGTTCTGGTGCGTGGAATTGGATTTCTTCTCTCTGGAGTGCAATGGAGTGTCCAGTAATGAGTTTTGCGATGGATCTATGTGTTAGGTGTGACTTTGGAGAGCCTGTATGTTGACACTCAGGTCTATGTTTCTGCGTTGCTAAAGAATTTGCGTGGTATGTCTTGTACTGGAGCTTATTGGCTCTTGGGTGCTGGTTGGTTTTGGTGTAGGTATGGAAGCTTTTGGATGGTCTCTAATTCCTTAATGTTCCATGTAGTCAGGAATTTTCTGGTTTTCTCAAGATTTGGGCTTAAGTCTCCTGCCTCTGGATTTCAGTTTTATTCTTCCAATAGTCTCGAGACTTCTCCAACTATACAGCACTGATAATAAAACTTCTAGGTTAATGGTGAAAAGATTCTCCACCGTGAGAGACAACCAGAGAGGTTCACAGAGTTTTAATTTTTTTTAATAAATCTAGAACCAAAAGGATTTTACTACCAACAAAAATAGTACTGTTGACTGAAAAAAAAAAAAAAGCTCAACGTAAGAGCTGTGAGTTAAGTTTTATTTGGGGCAAAACAAGGAATACAGCCCCAGAGGCAGCATTTTAGAGAGGTGGGGCAGCGGTCAGTAGTAGGCGTGACTCTAGTGAAGGGGGTATGAGCAGTAGCACACATCTTGTAAAGGTCTGCTGACAGGCACAACGAGGAGATGTCTCTGTTACTGACTTTAGTGCTTTTCTAGATATGAGGAGCCACAAAAATTGCGATCATAAAAATATTCTCCTGAAAATATCTAACTATCTAAAGGCCTGTTCTGCCAGTTTTTCGAGGAGCGCAGAGTGCCTCATTCCTGATCCTGAACTCCTTTCAGGAGTGCTGAAAGTCAGTGGCTACAAAATTTTGTAACTTAATCCCGGTAGAGGCAGTTGGCAAATGCCAATTTTCAGTTGGCAGTACAATACTCTGCAACATTAAGAATCAAATCAAATCATAGCTTATCATGGTTCTCAAACCGACTCCAAACCACTGGGTTTACTCTTTCAGTGATGCTTGTGAAGTATCTGTATTAGATACTGTCTATCACGTAAGTAGTGGCATCTGTTTGGTGAATCATCAACCACATTAGTGGTCAAGCAGTTTTTACTAAGTAAGAAGCAACACAAAGTATTAAGAATAACTACAAAAATGTGAAGCATGATTTGTTTTTTTTAAAAAATACAAACAGCTAAGTACACAGAAAAAAAAGATGACAAGATCATAAAAAAATAAACAATGATTGTTGCTGTACTATGGATCATTTTACTTTCCATCTTAGTAGTGGTTCTATGCATCTGAACAACTTTTCTACTACTGTTTCAAACATTTAAAAAAGTAAATTAATCCAAAAAAGTAACAGGTAACTGTGATGCAAAAATTTTAAAGTCTATACATATCCAACTATTAATTTAAAAAACAATCTATCACATTTACTTAAAAATCTCTTGAGGAACTTTGGAAATCCCTTGTTTAGACAAGACAAAGATCTATTTATGAACAAAAGAATCTCTTTAAAATTTTCCAAGTTACTTTACTTTGCCGGCCCCTCCCGCCATGGTACTGGTAAAGCAGTGAATATGATAGGTTTTTATCAATGTGCAGGATTCTTAGCAGAGCAAATAACCATAGAACCCAAATCCCCAAAATGTGCGGGATTGAAGGAGGGTGGGTTGAGGGCAAGGAAGAAGAGAATTTCCAGACATTGTCAGCAATTCAGAGTTAGGGAAATGTAATTTTTCTTGCAAGTAGCCAATGATGCACTTGTAGCTAAAGACTGTCTCACAGACAGCCATGGTGATCAACTGTGCCTTTCACAGAGAACTTTACTGAAACAGTTGAAAGGAGGAACAAGATTTTAGTGAAAAAAGCACCACGCCGACTAACAATATTGTCCATATTAAGCTCTGTATTTTCTGAGTCAAGGTTTGGGTCATGTAAAAGTAAAGCTGGCCCCAGAGAAGAGAGCAGTTTTTCACAGACTGCCATTTAAATCTCAAATGACCATGTTTCACAGCATGCTCAATACATTCCAGCATGTAACTGCATTTTAATTTCCTAAAACCACAGGTTTTAAGTCTGATTTCAAATAGTGTCTGGACTGTGATATTCAATACTGATAAAACTATACAGTGTTCTTCAGAAATTTCCAAAGATTCAGCATATGGAAAAGGATCTTCATTTTCTTTGAAGCACTATTACCAAAGAAATTAACTCCTCTGACTTTTGCAAATGAATCTAAAGAGTGAATATTAAGAGCTGAAGCTACTAACACAGAAATGGAACTTAGATTACAGGAAAGGAACATGCTGTATACTCCTCACTCACCAGGGCGAGGTACATATCACGTGACAAACCCGCATATATGAGACTTCAAATTTTCTTTGCCATGAAATGCTCATCGGTGCTTACTTTGGAAAATGAATTCAAAATATACTGACATGAGTGAATCATTGTATTTTATTGTCCATTCAGTACACAGAAATCATTCAGTCACCTTTTCAATTTTATAAACCAGGGAGAGCTTGTTGACTGCTTTAATCTCCCAAGTATATGTAAGAAGAGAAGCAGTCTTTAGAATAGATCAAGAGAGAAAAAGGGAAGGTGAAGTTGTGTCATGAGCTTGGGAGTCAGAACCAATTTAAGATGATATTATTATTCAGTTGGAAGGAATTTACAGACAAATTTTTACATGTAAACATGAAACAATACACTAAGATGGTCAGCAATTTTCACCACAGGGACTGGCTCTGACCTGCCCTTGAGAAAAGATAAAGGGAAAAATTTTTTATAAGGGGATAGAGTGGTTAAGTACAGTTGACTTTGAACAACATGGGTTTGAACTTCTTGAGTCCATGTATACTCAGAATTTTTTCAATAATGAAGTAGGACACAATTGATTAAATTGTTAAATGTGTCTTGGTTAAATCCAAGAATGCAGACAGAAAGGACCAAGTCTAAATTATATGTGGATTTTCAACTGAGTGGAGGGCTGGTGCCTGCCCCCGGGTTGTTCTAGGGTCAACTGTATATGCTTTCCTCTAAAATACTATTGCCTTTTATTTTGAGCCTGACTCCAAAACTAATTGACAAATTCATTTGTTTTTAAGCAACAAATCTATTTCATCAATGAGGTAACTTAGAATGAAATTCTGATCAGTAATTTAAGCTGAAGGAACTACAAAGCTTTGGTTGCTCCACAAAACTAAACATCTAAAAAACCTGGAGTTAACCATAGGGTGCCTAGCAAATGGGTCCCTCTAGCTGTTCTTCATTGGATTCCAAGGTATCGTCAGGTGTAAGAAGCGCCCACTCTTGAATTCATAACAGCTTTTTCCAGAAGTTAACAAAATACATGGGTACATAAATCTTTTTTTTTTTTTAATGAAACCTAATATATGGGGGAAAAAAAGACTGCATTTATTTCCTTGTCCTCTGTCTTCATATTTAATTTATCCAATTACTTTCTTCTTTTCCCCTGACCTCTCCATTTCTCTCTGCTTCTTTTTCCCTAAACTTAGACTAGACCACAGGTGACTACTGGGAACATGTTCATATTTTTAAGAAGTAAGCACAGGGTATCTCCTCTGGTGGGCTATGTTGACAGAAAGGTCAACGAAGCGCACACTGAAATATCTGGGAACTTCAGTCTGGGGGAAGACACACACGGCAACTGAATGGACCCATCACAGAGCACAGGAGCATCACGACCACAGCGAACACGGGGAGGGCAGGGAGGGCTGTGGGGAGGAGAGCTGCTGTAAACGGGAGGTGGTACTCAGGTGACAGGGACGTAAACAGACCTCCGCGTCTTTTCTCCGAGAGAGGCTTCAGGGCAAAAAAAGGCAAACGCAGAAGCTTGTGGCATACACAGGATGAGGTATGTTAATTGGCCTAACAATCACCAACACAAGAGGGGGGCTTTGGTCTCAATGTGACTGTTTTAATCCTGATTACAGTCCAATATGAAAGGTCTTATTATCATCTTGATTGTTAAGGCCAGGAATCTGGGGCCAAAGAGATGATGAAATTGTTGAAGAATGATGGAGTTAGGTCAGAAAGCAGGAAGTCTGGCTCCTGGGCTGTACTCTCAGTGACTTTACCTGCTACCACTACGCAACATCCAAAGGAGAGTATTAAGAGATAAAATATGGCTGGGGTTATTCTGGGCAGGAGTAAGAAGAAATGACAGAAACGAAGCAGCACCAGAGATGGCAAGTCAAGAAAGTGTCCTCACAAAACCCATCGCAGCCGCCTGGGCCCCTGTGAAACCATTCCACAACTATATTCAATACAACTGGTCAATACTTCTATCTTCTTGACACTGGCTAAATAATCCAGTGAACAATTCGTACGCACTGTGATAGTGGTCAAAGTAACGGATAATGGTGTCAGCCTTCAAAGCATGTGAAAACTAACCAAATGCAGGAAGCTGGATCAGTAAGCAGCACAAGCACAGGAGGCTTCTGCGTTTCTTTGCAAAACCATGACTGTGAGCGTGTGACTGCTGTGTGTACGTACGCACATGTAGCGTCTCTTATTTTAGAAACACAAACACGTCTGTGCACAAGCGCTCACTCACACACTCTCTGTAATGTTTGTATCAAAAGTTACTGGACCCTGTCAAGGGCCACAGTCACACATGCGGACTCCGAAACAGAGCCAGTGATTTCCGGCTGAGCTCCGCTTCAGACATACCTGCTTCCGGGTCCTGGTTGAAACGGCAGTACTTGGATTTCTCAAGTGAGGGCAGGCACTGCTCAATGGGGACCCAAACATACGTCTCAGGACACAGCAAATCCGACGGTCTGTACTGACCCTAAAGAGAAGTGAAGAAAAAAGGCACTGACATCACTAACACAGTGACTTCCTAGTTGCAAGGCTCCAGAATTCCAGGGAAGGCATTAATCACAAGTTTAAATGGAGTCAACCAGGAACAGCTTTACTGTAAACACGAACCAACCCTATTAGTGACTGTTTTCCTAGCTCAAGAATGCACATTTGATTCAAAGGCTCTCAAACTCATGTATCACCCTTTGGGATGCCTGTGTTGACTCAGAAGATCTGAATTTCTACTTTCTTTTGGGATAAATACATAACATGATTCCTGCTGACTGCTAAGAATACCCACTTCCAAATTCAAGTGGACACAAGTGCTGGTTAATAAGTGAAATTTTGTATTTGAGAGCATTATGATTTATACATGAAATAAATTTTATTTTCCAGAGTGGAATTTCACTACCCTTAGTCAGAATTCTTAAATTCGTAAGCTCAGCTGACAGTACTGATTCCATTCTAATGCACTGAAAAGTACTGTCTGGTCAACACGCTTCCATGAGCAATCTAGACTGATAAATAGACTATATAACAGATACTAAAGGAAAAAAAAAATCACTCCTCTAAGGGTAATTTGGTAGCCAATTAACAGAGAATAGTACAAATTATGTGAAATCATTCAGTCAAAATTTTCAGAAATATTAAAGTTAATTAAAATTCCAAACATCTCTTCTCTAAATTTTAACATTCAAAATTCATCATAGAGGTTAAATCTAAACATTGGTTTTCCATTTTTTTTAACTACAGCCCATAGTAAGAAATACATTTTACATTATAACCTAGTAAAACTATATGAAAATATAAAACTATTAATAGGAACAAATCTTTTACTACACAATGCTTACCCATGTTATGTAATCCTCTATTTTCTATTTCATTTTTTAAAAAAATGATGCTCTTGGACCATTTAACCACCAAAACTGCTTTCATAAACAGCAAATGGGTCACAAGCTCAGAGTTTGAAAAACACTACCTAGTGCAAACCTCATGACAAAGAACACTGCTGTTTCAGGGTGGAGCACTGTTACAGCTTTGAGTCAGAAAGGTGCTCTATAACTTAGACTTAAAATGGACACCACGCCCTCCCAGCATTCAAAACATTCAGCAGTCTGTAAGATAATGGAGAGATTATACATAAAATGTACACAAACAGATTAATTACTGCTTTTGAGATGTTGGAAGAGAATTCAAGGAGGATATTGAGTTTTAACTGGGACTTAGTTTCACTGGCTAAGTGTGGGACAGGCTGAAAAGGAATGAGAACAATCTAGATGAAGATTACAGCATAAACAAATATAACGCTGGCAAACAGGAAACAGCAGAGCGCTGCAGAAATAGAAAGGCAGGTCATGGATCAGCTTCAGAAATCATGTTCTAGACTTTATCCTAAATGAAATGCTTGCTGGCTAAGACAGAAGGCAGACAGTATGAAGACCAGACTCAGGTCTCTGACTCTGATCTTCCTGCAGTCTTCACAGCATTGCTGATGCCTTACTGCTACAGAGCAGTAAAGGTCACCCAGACAGGGCAGGTCCAGGTGGACACACTCACCTGATATTAAAATTCATAACACGGGATTATTTAGAAATGAATTAATGATATACTTAGGAAGTATAGTAAAGCCAGTTATTCCACTGATACCTACCTTATCAAAAGTAATGCCCTTCTCTCCACCAATTCACAAACAATTTTCTTGTGGAAAGGGACAGTATGATGCAGTGCTGTCTACGTGAACAAATGTGAACACTACACAGCAGTCTACAGCAGTGGTTCTAGAGCTGCCCGCCCGCCCCGTCCCCTTTTTGGTTACAGACTATTTTCAGAATCTATTGGCAGTAGAGTGGAGCTAAACATACAAGCTAAAGAAATTTTTTAAAAAGGATTAACTTTTCTTGACTTTGGAGTACACAAAGATTCCTTAGAACACAAAAAGCAATAAGTATAAAAGAAAAAACTGATGAATTGGACTGCATCAAAATTATACTATCTTCAAAAACTTATTAATAAATAGGCAAGCCAAAGATTGGGGAAAATATTAACAAAACTTGTATTAGATAACAATTTGTATCCAAAACATACAAAGAATTTAACAAGTCATTAACAAGAACAATCCAAGTTTTTTAAAAGTCAAAAAGACTTAAAAATTTTACCAAAGATATATGAATGTCTAAGAAACCTAACATTAGTTACCAGAAATGCAACTCAAAACTACAATAAGATACCACTGAATTCCCACTGCAATGGCTCACCTCAATTCCCACTACAATATTTAGAAGACCAAGTTCTGGCAAGGTTCTGGACCATCTAGAACTTGAATACTGTTGGTTTAAAGTGGCATAACCATTTGGGATAAAATAAATATTCTTGTAAGCACATTATCTCTGCATATGTCCAGGATAAATTCCTAGAACTGGAATTGCTGGGTATAAGGGTTTTAAGTTTTATAGCACAAAACAATTTCCCACAGAAGTTGTGTTGATTTATACTTCCATCAGCAATGGTATGCATGCAAGTGCCAATTTCCCCATAGCCTTATCAATAGTGTACTATTGAAGCTTTCCATATCTGCCAATCTGAGAAGTGGCATTTCACTGTGGTTTTAATTTGCATCATGAATCATTCCACATATTTAAAGGAATTGGTATTTCCCTTTCTATAAAGCTGGCTCATTTTGTTGTTAGATTTATGGTGCTAGTAATCGAAAAACTTGTTACATATTAAGGAACTAACCCTTAATTTGTGAACCATGTTGTATTTTCCACATTTGTCTTTTGACTGTGTGCACTATCCTCTTCCGTCATGTAGAAATCTGGTAAATGGTCAAATGTATCATTGTTTTTAAATGGCATCTGGGTTTTACAATATAAATAAAAAGGCCACTATCACTCTAAGACTATAAAAACATTTTCATGGTTTTTCTCTAATACTTTTATGGTTTTACAATTTTACATTTACATTTATGCTCCACCTGGAAGTTATTCTGGTGAAGATAGAAGACAAGGATTCAATCTAATTTCTTTCAGATGTTTACCAAGTGGCTTCAAGAGCATTTTTTAAACAATCATCATCCCTGATGATTTACAATTTAAAATGTCTTTGATAACTTACTAAATTTCCAATTATATTTAAATCTCTTTCTGGACTTTCTACTTATTTTGTTATACTTCTGTCTGTGTACTCATATACCAGTGCCATATAGTTTTAAATATTAAAGTTCTACATTATATTTTAACATAATATCTGGTAGAGATAACCCCGCTTATTGTTCTTCATTTGCACAATTTCTTGGTTCTTCTTGCTTAATTATTCTAGGATTCTGTTTAGTACAAAAGACCACCAATATGAATAAGGAAACTAATAAAAATGGATGGTATATCTTGTCTATTGTGATCACACAATATATAAGAAGAGAATCCCAAGAGAATTCCTGGTAAGAGGAAAATATAGCATTCTAAGTTAAAAAAAAAAAAACAAGAAAAAAGAAGCCCAAAATATACAAATGACACCATTTTCTAATTTAAGGCAAACCTAATTGCTGACTAAGATGCACAGATCAAATTCTGGGGGGAAACCAGCCATCAACTGTGAGTCTTTAAGACAAAAACAGACATATTCCATGCAGATATACTGATTCAATAGCAGCCACCTGAACCCAGTGCCTAGATTTAACAATGATGCTGACAATAAAAAATATTCAGTCAATGAACGCTAAATGACTCCTGATTTTGTGACAGGCACCAGATGCTAGGAACAAAAAGATGAACAAATTAGCCCATCTCTAGATAATTCACAGTCTACTGGGAGTTACTGACCTGGAGAAAGATAAAGCACACATAAGAATGTATTAAGTGTGATCAGGCACAACTGTCCAAAGTTCCTAAATTTTTACAATGTTCTTTTAAGGCAACACTTGCTTATAATAGATATTTTATTTTTAACTCTTTAATTACTCAGGTTATCTCACTGAAAAACCATAAATGTATACATTGTAACTTCTGATCATTTAAAATAAAAATTTTATATTAGGTAAAAACATTATTTTCTCCTAAGTACAGGCATATTTCAGTGTTTCAAATATTGTCTCAAGCCATCAAAGAGTGCAAAGAATTTTATGAAATAAACCACTTTGAACTGTTATGCTTTCTAAACTTAACTGGTAGAGAGTTACGTGACCAAACTGCTTGCAGTTCAATCTAAAGTTGCCATCACACAAATGGAAAACGCAGAGGCTTGAAAGCTGCCCTGACTTTCCAGCTAGTGTAAGAAAATGAGAAAGGTTTGTATTAAGAATGCAATTACTTAAGGATTTGGACATACTTCCCCGTGGTCAGAAGGAAAAATATTTAATCAACCTCTAAGTACATTCATTCATAATGGAACAATGAGGCAAAAGCAGATTAATCTTCTCCTAGGGTGCTGACTTTCTGTAAATAAGAAGAAATCTGAGTTACCACCGAATTTCTAAAGTACTCAAAATTTTGAAAATGTAATTGGTCTGACAGGGCTTATCTTACAATTGTTTAGAACACCCTTTCAGTTTGATCTACATGTTATAAGATGAACTCAAGATTTCTCCCTACTCCTACTCCTCTCCTCACCTCCCCCTCAAAAAACCGCATTCAACAAGGACAGCACCACGTGAAAACTTACCAAGCAAGGATCTCTAAGAGCAAAAGTTACAGGAGAGGATGATGCAGCTCAAGACAAGAAGCCTGGAAAAGGCAAAAGCTGTCTGCTAAAAAGCCTCAACACAGACGAGGAAATGCATGTTTTTCTTTATTAAACACTTCTGGTGAAGGGTAATTACCCATTCCAAAGTCCTCAAAGAGAAATAAGTTCAGCAAGCTCTGTGATTTATAATTTCACCACCTGTTACAACTTCTGGAGCTGTTTACAAACTGGCACTGTTTTAGAACTAGAAAGCAAACAAACAAGGTGCCCCTACAACTGGAGCTGCCATAGAAGAGTGAAGATTCTACTCGG